CTGAATCTCCCCAAGGTAGTTCTCTGAGGGTGAGAAAGCCCAGTCCGGAAGGCACTAGAGGGAAGGATTACAGTTAAACAAGACAAGGTGATAGGCACATCCCTCCTATGAAAAATGCGTGACCATTCAAGGTGGGGAAGGGGAGGGGAGGGGAGGGGAGGAGAGGGGAGGGGAGGGGAGGGGAGGGGAGGGGAGGGGAGGGAAAGGGGGAGGAACAGGGAAGAGGGAGAGGGAAGGGGGAGGGGGAAGGCTGGCTCTGGGTGAGGCAGAGCTCCTCCGCCTCCCAGAGCACTCCAGCAAATATGCCTGTGGCCAGCACCCATGGGACCAGATTTCAATTTGTGGAAGATGAAAAACAAACACAAAGAAAATTCTTTGAGAGGGAAAGGTTGGGTATTAGGGGAGACAGGAAAAGACACAGAAAGTTCTAGGGTTTAGAGTTCAAAAGACTTTTCAAAGGCTTCATTCAATACAAGCAAGCCAGTTCATCCAGAGGGCTAGGGAAAGGCAACCTCCTGAATGTGGAAGGGGGTCAAGACCCAAGCCTGCCCTAACAAGGAAGTGGGACACAGCCCTCATGAAGGAGATAGCCACAGGGAGCAAAGCTGTGCCCAGATGGGACCCAGGGAAGGGAGTGCTGGACAGAGCGCCACTGTCCCTTCCACACAGCAACCCCCAACACCCACCTGCACACCCCTGCGCGGTCGCCGTCACCTAAAGCCCCATTAAGCTCCACGTGACTCTCTCTACGGAGGAGCTGATGTCACCCGAGGCCACGTTCACCACCCACTATATAATGCTAGGGGCGTCGTCCCTCCAAGCCCTCTGCCCAGCCTATCCCTCCCCCACTTCCAGGCAGAAGAGTGGCCTCATGGGGCCAAGTGCTGACCCTGGGGCTGGGTGAGATCCCCACTCCTTCAGCCATGCAGGCCTTAGGTGCCACTCTGGGTGCCAGCACACAGCCTGGGACTTTAGGACACAAATACCAAGACTGACACTCAACAGTGCTCCTTTTCTGACTCCACAACCCCCACAAACCCACCTTTTAGAAAAGCACCTCCCCGTGAAGAACAGAAAAGGAGAGGAGGAATCTGAAAGAGACAAGACAGGGGAGGAGAGACAGCAAAATCACTATAATTTTACCGGAATAACTAAAGCATTGTGGGATCTCACACCCTTTTGAAGTTCAATGGGATCCGCCACACTGTACTTTGTTTCAAAAGCAATGAAATGGGTGGGACAGGACTCCAGCAGCTGCCTTCCCCTCGCTGAGCAACGTCCCCCTAGTCAACCTGCACAGCTCCGGCCACGGGGAGCAGGCTCAGAAGCTGAAGAATGCTGGGTTGTCCTGACACCTGCCTGGCACAGTGCTGCTCAGAGTTCAGCAGGGCTGGCTGCAACCTTCCCTGCTCTGGGGCCAACCCAAGGCTTCCAAAAGGCTCGGCACCTCGAGGAGAGAACGCTGTCACCCATCCACTGTACCCTGGCTGGGAAGGAGGGCTCTTCCTAGCAGAGTTCAGGGTAACCGTTTCCCTGACAAGCAAAGCAAGAGAAGGGCTGTGAAAGGGTCAGCGGATGTTCCCTCGCTTCAAATCTTTCCTGTTTCCTGTGGGCCCTGCTCTCACCACCGCGCAGGATTCAGCATGGCCTACATGGTGTGCCTAATCTGGCTGGAATTTCCTCCTCCACCCACCTGGCATTCTCCCCACAGTCTTGAGCACTCGGACCAGAGGTTCTCACATCCACCCCAAGTGCTGGTCTACCTGCCCCTTTGGAGCACCAGGAAGAAGCTCATGGAAAACCTGCTGCAAACCCCACATGGAAAGGAGCAAGGACTTGCCAACTGTTTGGCAGAAGCCCTAGGGAGCCCCCATGCTCTGTCCCTCGTCCCACTGCAGGGGCTCAGAACCAACAGGAGAAAACACACAGCCACGGGTCCCCAGAGCCTGGACCTTCACAGATCAGTGAACATTCACATCCCACCACCCTGAAACCAGGTGAGAGAGGGAGACACAGGAAAGGGCAGCACTGGCAGATGACAGCAGGAGCTCGAGATATTGCTGATCATCAGGTTCAGTACAGTTCACACTTTTTTGACCATGACTCCAGCCAAGAGAGCACTTTCCACAGCCACGCAGGGACAAACATACACACAAAACCCAAGCAGAACTTTTCGGAGCAACACTTCCCCTTACTGCGTGCCGGGCACTGCATCCTGCAATCTCACCAACCTGTCTCTTTTAAAAGGATCCTACTAATGGGTCACGACCCCCAGTCTGAAAAACACAGGCTCTTCAAGTGACATTGGGAGTGGGGTGGGACTTTATGGCAAAGTGCATTTACTATTATAATTTGAAGCATTAGCAAGGCTAGCTTCTTGCACTCATGACCATAAAACCAAGCAGCTTGCTTACGATCTGTGGTCCCCCCTACCTAGGATAGAAAAATCGGAAAAAGAAGGCCCACCTAACACTCCTATTTAACACACAACATCAAAGTGAAAAATGTGTGCTTTAGAACAATTAAAGAAAACATTTTCTTCCAAGACACATTTTACATTGATGTGGCTTCAGTTGACAAAATTATTTAAAATTTCAAATAACAAAAGAGGACAATGGGTGTTCTGTGCTCATAGAAAGGGGGGCAGGTTAAAAAGGGGGAGAAATAGTGAAATGGTACAGCCCCATTTTATTTACGAGTGGCGAAACTGAGGGACAGAACAGTGCCTAAGACATGAAGCAAGTTAGGGGCAGGGCTTGAAACCCAAACCAGGGCTCCTGAGTCAATTACTCACAGTCTCCATCAACCAAAACATTTAAAAACACAGTCAAGGTCTCTCCCAATGAAGCTCTGCCCCAGCTGAAGCATGGATGAGTCCCTGATGCCTCGGGCTGGGCACAGACAAGCATGCTGATCTTGGCAGACCTGGGCACTCTGCTGCAGCCCTGCCGGGGTCCTGTAAGGGTGGGTCTCAAAGGCTCAACTCTCTGTGCCTTTCGTCTCAGCTGAAAAAATGCAAAAGAATAAGCCTTCCTACCCCTTCTGAAAATGTAGCAAAAAAGGAGAGGTGCTTTAAAACCAAGCCTGCATGCTTAAAAACAGAAGCAGCACTGTGGGTCATTATTCAGAGTCAGAGTTAGAATCCCGGAACCCAGAAGACCTTATGCATCAGCTGACCCAAGGCTTCATTTGCCAGTCAAGCCCCATAAGGTGACAGCCAGACCAGCTCCTTCTGCCACATACTGTGTTAACCTGTCCACTGGAGAAAACAGCCACAGAAAGTAACACTAGGTACACAGTGACATCTGGGTCAAAATACACCAGCATCTGAGGGCCGGAGGAGGGCCAGCGAGGCAACTGAACACAGATCACACAATTCAAATATGTGAGAGGCATTCCTCCTTAGAGTGTCCAAGGGAGTTCAAAAGGCATGACTAATTTTTACTAGTCCTCAAGAGAAGCTCAAATGATGCTCCAAACCAAACTTGGAGCACAGAGGGCAAGGGCCTGGGAAGGGGCACGACTCCCTAATGGAACACTCACCACCCCCACCCAGTGGGTCCACTGCCTGCTCAGATGACACTTCCCTGCTCCTGACTTTCCCTGGACTCTGTCCAAGGCACTTGAGACAGCAGCTTCAAATATGGGGAATTTCACTACACAGGAGGGATTCTTTCCTATAAAAATGCAACCTGGTATCTGTCCAGAGCGTTTCCTGGAGGAGCCATGAAACACTAAGAGACAAGATCTGCCCCGTCCCCTCCTAACCCTAGTAGGCGAGGACCATTCCTTTAATTCCCCACGGGGACAATAAGGGTCAGAAGGGGTGAGGCTCAAAGCCAGCAGCATGCCTTCCCTCACTGGGCAGGTGCCTCTCCAGCCACGGACTGCCAGCTCTGAGAGCTGCCAGGGCAGGGAAACCCTCTGAGTTGAGCATTCTGGCCTTCAAGCAGTTCATGTGGGGCCAGCTTCAGTCATTCAAGACAGCTAGTGGGGGGTGGCTTTGTAGGCCCTGCCTTTCACCAAAACAGCCACCTAGAGAGGCCCCCATCTTCCAAAGCACAGTGGGGCTGGAGTCAGAGGAGACAGCTGGAGCATGAGCCTGGGAAGGTTAATCGGCACACCTCTCTGTGCCTCGGTTTCTTCACCTGTTCATTGCCAGGGTTGCTGTAAGAATTGGATGAGTTATGCCCACAAAAATGCATTGTGTCAATAGTAGTAGTACTTCCCTACACTAACTAGTCTATACTTTGGGCACTCTGTATCCTGTACAGGCTGAGAGAGCAGCTGTCTGTCAAACAGACAGTATCTACCTGGCTAAAGCTGCCTCCTTGCAGAGACGCTTAATTAAAAAAAAAAAAAATACTCTACCTGGGGAAGCAGTTGGAGAATTGAGTGTCTATTACACAACCCAGTCAGAGCTGTACAGCAGCGCACACACTCCTTGCCCGCCCATTTCCCTGCTCCAAAAAGAGAAGGCAAATGTTGCAGGTCTCACTACCTCTCTGCTGTCTGGCTGCCCAAACTCCAGGGGAAGGGGTGCAGAGCCCTAAGGAAAGGTGATCACACAGGGTGCCGCCGAACAGGCACCCTCAAAAGAGCTGCCAAGACCCTAGAGAACCTCTGTCACTCCAGCGACCACCAAAATACCCAGGGAGCAGAAGCTACACGCCAGGGCCGGAGGGCACGCGGCCCGCTGAGGGCCACGTTTCTAAGCTGGAGCGTGGTTAGCGCTTCCCGGCGGCCAGCTCCCTCAGAGACCGCGCACGTGCGGGCAGCCCGCGCCACCCATCACCGGCGGCGGACTCCTCTCGCTGTGCCTCGGAAACCGGGCGCACCAGCAGGAGCCGTGCTGAGCCAGGACGCCAAAACCCTCGGATCGCGTGGGCTGGCGTGGTAAGACTGTGCAAAGCTGCACCGATCGCCTCCCTCGGGAATCACGCACGCACGCGCGCTCTCCTCTCTGCTCGCTCCGTCGCTAAAGTCTCCTCGCGCCTCACCTTCACTGAGTCTACCGGGTACATGACCGTGTGCTCCAGGATCCCGGCCATCGCTCCGGCTGTCATGTGGGTGGATAAGGAGGCGCTGGTCGGCAGGTTCTCATAGTCCTCCGACCCCGCGTCCTTGCTGCCGCCGCCGCCATCTCGGCTGTCCCCATCCATCCTGCGCCCCACAGCCTGGCTCCCCACGCCGCCACAGCGCAGCTCCATTCGCCAGCTCTGCGGGCCGCGGGAGGCTGCAGGAGGTGGGCAGGGAGGGGGAGGGGGCAAAAAACTTCACTTCTTAAAGTGGGAACCACCTCCTGGGTGCTGCGGCGCTTGACGCCATGGCGGGCTGGGGTGGAGCGGAGGGGCCTGAGACACCAATCACTGGAAAAGAAGGGGCTGGCCGCGACCGCGCCATTGGCGTGAGAGCCGGTGGGGACCCGCCTCCCTGTGTGACGTCACTGTCCAGTGCAAATTTCCAAGCAACCGGACGGGGGCGAGAAGAGACGTTGGGGTGTCCCGGGAAGTTGTAACACCTCTTGGGTGGTGCTGCCTCTCTAGGAGCAGGCTAGGGGCGGTTCCTGGAGAGGGTCAGCCGGGCCACAGAGGGAGTATGCATAGGGCTGGAGGAAGAGGGGGAACAGCAGCTCGGGGGAAATAGGTCCCCAGAGCCCAGGGTTTTGCAAACAGCATTGCTCAGCAAGCGCTGGCATTCCTAGGGCCTGGGGGTGGGGAAGGAGTTACTGCAAATGTCACCATGGAGCAGTTATGGTGGCGGGATGGAAGTGGAGGAAGAAGTAGGGTCGCACGTGGGAGGGGAGTCCTAGAAGTGAGGACAAGCTGCGCCATAGCCATAGCCATAACCGTAGCCGTAGCCATAGCCATAGCCATAGCCATAGCCATAGCCATAGCCATAGCCGTGCAGCGCTGGGACATAAACTCAGGGTCCTGTGATAGGCTACTTGACAGGGGGGAATACCAATTTATTTGAATGTTTATTCTCTCACTTCAAACAGCAGAGAGCTAAATTTGTTCTTTCCCTTGTTCTCTCTCACAAAGAGGCTAAATTCACCCTGTCCTGGACTGACCAGGACAGTAAGTTGTAACCAAGATGGAGGCCTTCTGGGCAGGCACCTCCAGACCATTTTCCTCCTAGATGATGTGCCTGGAAAGTCTTCAGAGGTCTGATCCCCTGGTTAGAGCTGCAAAGCGGTGGAGAATAACACGTTGCAGCCTTGCATCTATCTGCCTGTCTTCTAAGACTCTAGGCTTCTAGTTCTTAAACTCATCCCAAGCTGGCTTCTTTATTTTAACCCAAATAGTACTGTGTTGCTCCATCTGGGGAAAGGGGAAGGAACCAGAAAATAAGGGACTGATCTGCTTATGGAAGTTGCCATGAAAGCATGGCATTTGCAAGCCTAAACATACACACATGTTCTGGGGCTGAAGATTTGGCCCTAGCTGATTGACTTCTACGACACCAGACACCTTATCCAGAGAAAGTTTCTGGTCAGGAAAGCTGGGCCCCAAGATATGAAAGGGAGGAGACCCTGAAAATGCTGTGCCCATACTTTGTCCTCACCCTAGTCCCAAGGTTCACATTACAACTACCCTGACAGCACTTGGGAATTTGAGGTACAGTGATGTGAACAATAGAGGCTTCAAGGCCAAGGGCTCCCATTGCCCCATTTTTGGTAGCTGCCAATAGTGGCTCACAACATGAGTGTGAGGATGTGATAGACAGAAACAAGCTTTGTGTTTAGTGTTTGCTAGAGAAGAATGTCCTTGCTTTTGCCAAAAGTGCCCCTCTTTTTTAAATGGTAGCAGTATGGTTTGGTAAGGTGTACTTTAGTACAGGCGCTGGGGTCCGCCCATGGTGCTCTCTATGTACAAAGCCTGGCTGTTCTGCCAGTCCTTTTTGAGCAATGACACCAGCAAATTGACAGCTAAGTGGCTGTTGTACACAAGCTCATCATCTGTCATCTTCATGTAGCCAACAGCCACTGCCAGACACAGCAGCCTCTTCATGTGGAACTTGATTGTGGATTTCACTCCATCACTTTGCCCACTATGGTCCCACTGTGGGTCAGCTGGGAAGGGAACCTGCCAGCCTCATTCAGGCCTGAGCCCAGGATTCCTAGAAACAGCTTGATCAGAAACTCTGAAGCTGAAAAGGCATCGTACTTCCTGGCCAGCTTCTGGACCAGTTTCTTATTCTTGCTGAGATTCTTCAGCACCTTGATGTTCACATGGGAGATGCCCATTTGGGAGATATCCACAGCCTTGGCCTCGTCACAGTGCTGCTGGTCCCCCAGAATGCAGCCAAGGACTTGAGGTGGGGAGTGGACTTAAGCTGACGGTGCCTGGGAAGTGTTTGTCCTTCTGAGGGTCACAGCTCTTCAAGCTGATCTGGAGCTCCACCATCACCCCAAACCTGCAGCCACTTGCGCTGGTTCCTGTGCAGGACTTCTAGCACTGCCTTGTGCAGGGGGTGCAGGGTGTACAGGGTGCCATGGGAGACTCTGCTGCTCCTGGTTCCTCACACCACAGAAACCAGAAAAGAGCCCATAGGTGATTTTTAAGAAACATTGAGCCCTGGCTGGTGTGGCTCAGTGGATTGAGCACTGGCCTGAGAATCAGGGGGTTACTGGTTCAATTCCCAGTCAGGGCACATGTCTAGGTTGCGGGCCAGGTTCTGGGTGGGGGATTGCAAGAGGTGACCACACATTGATGTTTAAAAAAAAAATAAAGAAACATTGAGAAAAAGCCATTGATACTCATTTAAAAGTGGATACCTTTTAACCAGTACACACTAACCCATTATCCTGCTTCCAGAAATGTGACACAAAACTCTGAAAATTCATGAAGCTATTCTTCAAAGCAGTATTTATAGTCATAAATAATTGGAAGTGACCTATATGTTCAACTAGAGAGAAATGGCTAAGTAAATTATGACACATGTATTAGAGAAATATTATAGGGCCATTAAAAATTGTGGTTACATTTTGCAACATGGGGAATGGTGAGGATGCATGTCAGGTTAAAAAAAACAAGATTTTATAAAAGTTACATTTACAAAAATGTAAATATACTCATCAAAAGAGTGAAGTGGTTATGATAGTAATGTAGGATTACAAGTAACTATTTTTACTATTTTTTCATACTTAAAAAATACTTATTTTCATAATTAAAAAATGAAAATGAATCATTCTTTTTAGGATATAATCTTCCAATGGATGGGAAAACCTCTGAACTTTGCCACAGTGATATTAGTGGGGAGAAGTCACCTTGCAGGGGTTAAGCGGACTGTTAGCAAATAAGAACATGCCCATAATCTTTGGGGGCATAAGATTTTTTAAAATTATATAAATATTTAAATTTTTTAATAAATGTTAATCCAGAACTATTTAGAAAACCTTTGGAATATTTTTATAAGCACTATTTTCTCACCACATATGGTAGGTGTAGGGGTTTGGCACTCAGCATCCATCCTAAACTGCTCCTTGTACAGTAATGTCCAGAAAATTTTAAACTACATTTCTCAGACCCCTTTGCAGCTGGGAGTCTAGAGTGACTTCCATTGTGCCAACTAGATGGACTAGGGAGATCAGGGAGGTGGAAGGGAGGGAGAAGGGAGAGGCCACCTTCCTGTTGCTTTGATATTCTGCTGCCTAGCAATGTCCTAGACATGTCCTCGCATTAGGAGCAGTTGGTGTTGGCAGTGGCTTCCCTATTGCAACAGCACTGCAGGGTCTGGTCACCACGTTCTCGGCAAGGTGGCCATGGGGACGGCAGCGGTGATGGTAGCGACTTCCTGATCCCTGCGCCGTAGCTTCAGTAGATGGCTTCCTCACCTGGGTGGTGGAGGTTCCCTTGGGAGGGCAGGTGGACCTTGTGCATCTGAGAGTCATCCCCAGAGGCCCAGCAGAGGATCAGTTCCTCGTCCACACCGACGATCTTGTGCATAGTAGACGAAGCCTGCTTAGAGATGGGTGATGTCCCAGACACTGTAACCCCAGGCTTCCACCACACTGCCAACAAGGAGGGAACACAGCAGTGATCCTCTCCTATGTGCGGGGCCAGGAGACTCAGAAGGACTTGCTGGTTCCGCCAGAGTCTTACCTCAAGTCCCTGAACATTGGTGTTGTGAAGATGTCATTATGCTGTCCTAGCCTAACTGGGAGCCAAGTTCCACGTGGAAAGGGGAAGCTACCGAGGGTGTCAGGTAAAGAGCACTGGCCTCTGAGTCACGATCCATCAGGCCCTGCTGCTACCATTCACTAGCTATGTGCTTCTGGCTCATTTGGTAAGCATGCTTTCTTGTCCGTTGACCGTGGGCACTGATACTTAACACGTGGCAAATAAAATATAGAAAAAAAGTAGAATAAAATCTCATGGTGCAGTATATATCATTTGGAGGTATTGGGAGGAAAGGAGAAAGGAATTATGGATGCAGAGGGAAGAGGCCCAGGCTTTCCCCAACCCCACTTTTTTTTCTGAGTAATTGCTCTAGACCAGATACCTGCCCGGCCACACGGATATCTTCACACCCTGCCCAGAACTTAGCCAGTGCTATGTCTTCCACTGGGGCCCCAGCATTCCTCTGTGGGAGCAGTGTGGCATCCCTGAGCACCATGTGGTATGGCCCCAGGGTGGAGGGTGTGGCTCTCTGTCTTTGTTTTCCTCCGAAGACTCCATCCACAACCCAATGAATTTTAAATCTAGTTTCTGTGGGATGGGGGTGGGGGGTGCCTCAAGGGCCTCTGGACTTGCAGGTCCCCCCTCACATACAGTCCTGTCATCCCAGAATTCCTTGGTTTTCCAAGGACAGCACTGTTTTTCCTAAAAGCATATCTGTGTGTCTCCCATTGAGGAAAAAAAGAAAGATGAACAACAGCTAGCCCCACTCTGGAGTCCCAGGGCAAATACAGAACGGGTAGGAGGTAGCCATAGCTCACTTCACCAGGAGTTCTTTACAGAGGGTGCTGACCGGCCAGGGCCAGAGCTGGGGGCTGAGACCAGTGTTGGCCACTTTGGAATCCAATTGCCCAGTGCGACGTAGGCCACGTCCCACTGCTGCAAGTCGGTCCGTGGACTCCTGTGCCGTCCTCCTCAGCAGCTGCCCCCTGCGCTTTCACTGCCAAGAACCAATGACTTCAGCTGTCCCCTCATCACATCAGCAGCCACCCTGTCTCAGCCCTGCTCTTGTGTCCACTCTCATTCAAGAGTCTGCCCCTGTTGGGTGGCTCAAGGCCCTAGAGGTAGACAGAGGGGGTGGCAGAGGAGCGCTGGGGCCCCAGTGGAGGCAAAGCATTGGCTGAATTCTGGGCAGAATGTGACAAA